AGTTCTGAGTAGACACTGTCTGGACCTGTCACTTTTCCGTTTTTGTATAACTGAATGGCGTGTTGGACTTCTTCCTTAGTAGTTATGTCTAGTCCTTCTCGTGAATACTCTTCAGGAATGTCCAATCTGTTCTGTGTTCAAATTGGACCACCCTGTACATGCTAGAAATTAAAATAATATATTTTATGAAGTACCTTTATATTATTTTTATTTAAAGGTAAATTGCAATATTTTACCAGTAGAAAATTAAAAAAAAAACTTTGACCTAATTTTTCAGTATCACCCTGTATTGCTACAAGGTCGGTGCAATGAAAGAAAATGCTTATTTCGACTTCTCAAATAATATACTAAAGTTTCAACAAAATCTGTCGGTGACCGAAATCCGTAAGAAGTGTGAGATGTTCTTTTTAGCAAATGTGTACAGGAGCAAAAATGAAGGTAAGGTAAGGTAAAACAATAAAAACAATATTAATATTTGTCTGCAAGAGCATAGGTCTCGGTATATTACCTAAGATATTTGAACTTGTTCCAGATGCCATGAAACTACTGTGTTCCTGGGTGCAAATCGAACTATTAGGAGTTCCTTAAAAACTGAAGAAATGCAAACATTTTTATTTCCAAAAAAATTCTAAAGTGCAAAAAATGTGGATGAAAGCAATACACCAAGATAATTATACCCGAGATTATACAATAACGAAAAATTCTGTGGTGTGTTGTAAACATTTTGAAGAAACCGAAATAATTAGATTTGAAACAAACAAGGATAAAGGCGTAGTTCGAGAGTTCAAACTAAAACGTCCAACTCTTAAAAGTAGGTACCTCTTATTTTCGAAAATCAGCTCAAGTATTTGAATGGACTTGCCTTCCGAAAAAATCCCGAAGAAAGAAAAAGTTAGATTTTCAAAAGACATACTGAAACATAGGCCTATAACACTTTAGACTCTAGAAATATATTCATTTAAATCAATTATTTACTGTTCTTATTTACACAAATAGTTAAATTATTCATTGAATTACTGTTTTTGGCCCTTTAGTACAATAAATTATGAATTTTTTGTGATTCATATTAATAAAATAAAAAATATATATTTATGCAAACAAACACCACCAGCACCACTTGACGGTAAGATTGCGGTGTTGCCTTTTTAACTTCATGGCTTGTTAAATGTAGGGGGCTGTCGCAGATCTCAAAAATGCGAAAAAATTCTTGGGATGCCATTCGAAATTACGAAGTTAGGGCCATATCCAGTCAAACCGGAAGTTACCAAACATTGACACATATGTCAAAAGATGACATTTCTCAAAACTATACTCTATACCAAAAATCTTTACCATTGAAAAAAAACCCAGCAAATGTCAGTGCGAAACTAATCTCGTAGACACCCGGTATATGCTTTTCAGATATTATTGGCGAATTAGCAGGTTGACCCTCGTATAATAATGACATTTGATGACAAAGTATTTTTTTAAATTCAGGGTTATGAAACAGAAAGCCGAGTTGCCAGAATGTGTAAAATATCTGAGCAGATTCAGTTCCAAAATATTTTTCCAAATTAATCATAAAAAAAAGATTGGGTAGTAATTTTATTTGATTTATTTGAAATAAGATAAATCAAACGTAATCATAACAGTGGGCTTAACAGCCTAAATATGTTTTCACAGTAACAAGTTTTTTTTTTTGGGTTTGGTCCAACAAAAATATTGATTGGTGGTTGTTGGTTGTAGAAAATGGCTTTAAAGTCTGTTTTTTTTTTAAGATAAAAGTTAAAATGACATTATGTTGGCAATACAATGTAAAATTGTTAATGCTTACAAATTTTATGCAAAAAAGACTTGTGTTGCCAACATAATTACTAGATTTTTGACTTGGGAAATTATCTTAAAAAAAAAAAACAGACTTTACATCTACATTTAAACTATACCTACCCCAAATATATCTGGTAGTTAGGCTTCAATTTGTATTTCCTGAAAAACCTCCTGGTTTGTTTTTTTCGAAATAGCCGTAACATTTTATTATTTCTCCTATTTTTTGTGAAATTATTTTGGACATCTTGAATATGAAATAAATTTGACAATGCCGAATTTTAAAAGCTATCAATAGATTTTGCAGGTATGCAAAATACTTAGGTTCTATTTATACATATATTGCACCATTGGAAAATGTGTCAAATTTGATTGGCCAGATAAGCCAGAGAATTTTAATACCGCGACACTTACGAAATTAAAGTGTGTTTTTTTTTTAAAGATAATTCCCCAAGTCAAAAATTTAGTAACTATGTTGGCGACACAAGCCTTCTCTACATAAAAAATTTGAAAACATTGATAATTTTATATTGTATTGCCAACATAATGTCATTTTGACTTTTATCTTTAAAAAAAAAAACAGATTTTAATGTCATTTTGACTTTTATCTTTAAAAAAAAACAGACTTTACGTAAAACACACTTCAAACTGTCTGGAATTTGACATATACTCTCATTACACTAGTTTACAAAGATTTCGTAACACAGTAGCGGCATATATTTTTTGTTTTATTAAGCATTCTTGATTCCTATCTAATAAATTCATAAAATGTCTCCATCACGTCAATTTTTTTTTTATATAAGAATATGAACTTCCCATGTACCCCTAACTATATACCGCCTATTAATTGAATAAAAAAATCAAGGAACACAAAAACTTAAGATATTTGAAGTAGAAAATTTTTTGATGCATAAATCGATAAGTCAAACACAGTACAGTTCCTGTTGTTTCGTTTTTGAGAGTAGATTGCCAAAAAATCATAACAAAATCTTTGGAGAAAGAAAATATGCATCAATTTTTATTTAAAAATCCTGACGTGATAGAGAAATTCTGTAATTAAATTTGGCTTCAGCAATTGCGGTTTAACCAGGATGTGATACTTTGCTTTCTGTTGCGAACCAAATGTTTTTGTTTGTAGAGTAGTGTTATCACTCATTGAAAACTTCCTATCGATGTACCAAACACCCTGTATATTCTTGGAAATTTTTGTTCAGCTTGCATTACTGACTACCTTTGCCTAATTTTACAACAATTAAATCGAATGTACCTTATTGAGGGATAGGAAGATTGTTTATTTTTATTTATCCATGGCGCCATAGGCCCATAGACTTGTACGAGATCGTATATCGCTGTTGACGCTGTTTCAGTAGAAATAATTCCACAAAAGAACAACACTGCTTGAAAGATGTGGAAATAAAAATGTTGGCGAGTTGCCATGATTTTCCCTAATGAGTTGATTCCCTGTGATGAGCAAGCATGATTTGATACTGTTTTGCGGAAAGAAGGTTATCAAATGCATCCGTTTTTTCTCCATCGTTCGTTATCATTATCCAATTTAATCTCCGGCTTTTGTTGCTCTCCAAAAATATGGTTACGGGCTGCCATATTGTCCTAGAGCAGAGCAGCCTGCCGTCTATCGGAACGGAACTTTAATCTGATTTCTCCAATAGTTTACCTGATTAGTAAAGTTTACTTAATGACTGAAGAGCTTTGGATGTTATACCAGAAGAAATTTGTTTAGGTTCTTACTTTCTGTGGAAATATTTCCGCTAATCCACTCAAATTGATAGGTATGAAAGATTGACGGTAAAATTTTCTGTTTTGATGCATCATATCGCACGACTTTGTATAGCATTGGAACAATGCCTTTGACAGTTTATACGGGAAACGTAGGTACTCTAGACTTACCTGGGGCCGGATTCCGAACCCACGATTCGATAGTACCGTCTATCGTCAGGTACATAAAGTCCAACAAATACCATTTTAAAGTCACGTGATATTGGTGGCAAAAAACGTATGTCCATTGATTATGTCGTTGATATCACCGACAAAAAGCTACTGGTAGTTAATTACTATTGAATTTTAATATATCTTCCCACTAGCATTTTATAAACGCGTTTCTGAAGTAGTATTGACCAATCACAGGGCAATTATAACTGAACTTAAACTGGGTACCCGTTTTCTATTTGCTTCTTTTCGAGTTGGAAAAACGTTAATATAGTCAAAATTATTAGCTGTGTTTGTTCGTTGTATTATTTTCGAAAATAACTTTGACAAATTAAATGATGACAGTGACGGATTCTATTTCAGGTAAGAATATTATGAACAATAATTAGACACCAATTTTTTTGTCAATTTTACTATCACCGCTGTTTGAGATGTATTTAACAAGGATAGAGAAAAATCACGTGACTTTAAAATGGTATTTGTTGGACTATACTTTTGCACAGCTTGACGATACTATCGAATCGTGAGTTTGGAATCCAGGCCCTGTTATAATTGATCTATTTTTTTTTTTAATTCACAAAAAATGTTCTTGAATAAAAGTTTTTGGCAAATAACCTACCTATTGTGATGCCATGCCTAACATTTTTAAGCAATTAAGGGAATGACAAATTTGATCTGTATCAATTTGGGATATCGCTTCTTTATGTTTTTGTTTACTGTTTATACCCTAGGCTCTATAGATATTATTAACTAAAGCTTATTTTCATTTTGCTTAAGCTTATTTGCCATTTTGGTCATTGATATGAGGCTTTGTAGCTATAATAAACTATTGAAAACAGTAAATAAATGCAAATTCTAACATACACTACCGTTAAAGGGTAACGGTTCCATACACTAACCAATAGCTTTTAAGCAGATTAAATAGAGAGGATTTACTTTTAGCTCTAGTATCATTTGTTCCACACTTTTCCTATATTTGAAAAATTTAATTTGTATGAATTTATTTTGAATGATTTAAGAGAGAACTTTTATTTTGAATGGGGCGTCAATATCGTGGGTCACGTCTATCAAGCCAGAACCTTTCAAAAAAAAATAAAATATTTTTAATAAATAAATGCATCAATAATAAGTAATCATTGTTGTTCTTAGGCTTGACTGGCAAGTCCTCTCCCACCTAAAACTGGCGACATAGTCAATTAAGTCTTAATTTCCCGAATCAAATAATCTAATATATATTTCGTATTTTGCAGTGCATATGGACGCTCACGCTCAACGCGCACCTTCTTTTAAAGGGGCCATATGGTCCTCTTCCACAAATAATAATTCAACTTTCCACAAGCACCAACAAGATTTGGACATGATGCCACCACCAGAAACCAATTTGGTACCCTTAGCTACCAGACGTCCATCGATCAATATGCCTTCAACCAGTAACGATGCTCATTCGCCTCCATTACACTCTTTGAAACAAGAATACATTGACGAAAACAGTCAGGGTTCCTTATCGGACTCAATGGACGTTATGCAAGAGCGCTACAGACCCATTTCTGAAAGCTCGTTGGACGTGAATCACGATTCCAACATATCTATGATTAACGAAAATTCCATGATGAGCCACTTAAGTGAAAATTCGAATCTAAGCATGAGTGAAGAAAGTATGGAAATGGTGCGTCGTAACTCACTAAACATGTGCGATAATGCTGTTATGAACGAACCAAATGACCGAGCAATGTTGCCAACTCAAGTAATGGATCTCAGAATGAAGCTTCCAATGAACGCTTCGATCAACGATTACGTTACAACAGCTTCTTCATTAAGAAAATTTGGAATTGAGCATAGCAGCGCTCCATTAACTCCACAAAGCGCTCAAAGCGTAGCAAATTATTTGACTAAAATCGAAACTAAACAATTGTCGACAGCTCAAGCTATGTCAAGTTTAATTCCATCACAAACGACTCAGTTCCTAACATCACAGCAACCGTTTTTACCTGAAGCCACTGCCATTAGCACTATCGCTAAATCTGAAGCAGCAGCGATAGCAGAACAAGCAATGATGGCAAATGGTACTACAACAACAGCCAACGCCAATACAACTTTAACTACAGCTTTAGAGGGCAGCATTTCTACACCGATAAACGCGGAGAAACTTGATGAAATTTTAAATTCCACTTTGGAATCTCATATGATGAGAAGTCAAGCCACAAAAACAACTAACGGCGCAATTGTTACTACGCAAGATGTTATGATGAGCAGTGAATCCCCTTTGTTAGTACCTTCTGTTAATGTTATCAACAGCACTAATTTAACCAATGGACTTTTGGTAGCAACTCCTCAAGACACGCACTCAGCAGCCACACTTAGTCCTGAAGTTATTTTAAATTCGCAACTTTCTCCAAGTTTAATGTGTCGAAATTCTCCATCGGTGCCACAAGAGAGTTTGATTGGTGCCTCAACATTGTCTGCTATATGTCAAAGTGGTACCACAAATTCTACCGATTCTAATTTATTGTCTGGTTCTATGCCAACAGTTACGACGCAAGAATCTGTTGCCTTATTGAGTTCGGAGCCTGAAAAGGCTGTTTTATTAGAAGCAGCGGTGGACTTTTTGAAGACGCAAAAAAAAATTTGCGAATTGACCACTACCGCTCAGGATATTATTTCAATACCGTCCACGGTTACAGTTACTGATAGTACGGCATTGGGTATGGAAAATACTATGGCTTCAAGTTTTATGCCTTTTGCTAGTAGCACTCAGTCCAGTGTAATGATGTCAAAAAGCATCTCTGATCAGAAGAGGGACTATATTCCGATAGCTATCAAAGATATTGCTACTACAACAGCAAACGACAGAAAAAACGAGGATAGAATGATTCCTCAATCGTTTACGTCGTTGACTGAAAACGAGCTGATTAATCTCATCAATCCAACATGCTTTGATCAAGGTAATGCTTACCATCATTAGAGCTTGCTATATGTATATATTATGCTTGAATTTGTTTCCTTTGAAGTTGTGTATAAGTTTATTTTGTTGCTCACAGACTTAATTTTAGTGTAGTTGGAATACTAATGTAGAAGATGTAGCAGTGCTTATTTCAATAACCAGCTTAGTTTAGAGAATTGTAACTAAAAGTAAAATGTAGCATACATGTTCTGTGCATAAGAACAGATATCTCATACTGTTTATTTTTGTTTCACTTTCAGTTTAAGTCATTGGTGGAGGCTTTTTCATGTGTCCGTACTTATCGATGTCTTTTCAGTGGCCTTTTTCGAATTTGTTTTTCAAGTGCAGCTTTATCATTCGATTTTACATTAGGTAAACCATATAAAAAATATTTTTCTATGTATATTACAAATGGATGACTGAACTGCACCGAGTTGCTTTTTAAATGGTTCGTCCTCCCTTGTTAGTTTTAAGTTTGAAATTGTTGATTTTTATTGCCTCTAAAAAGGAAACATTCACTATTTATGTTTTCCACAAAAGCCATTTTATGAATAATTTTTTGTTCTAAGTTATAATTATTTTTATGATGATTAAGTGATTTTTTTATTAAATTAAGAACAATTATAGAACCATTTTTATTATTATTATATTGTACAGATATTAAATGTTGTTATTGTTTCGATATTATATTAATTGTAATGTAAAATATATTGGAAAAAAAATATTGGTGTTTTATTTTAGTTTTTAAACCCAATAGATAGTGTGTTGCACGGGATAGAGTTGAGCTTCACAGGCAAAAGTAGATTGAACTAACAGTTCTCTCATTCTAGGAATATTTAGTGCATGAATGATCTATTTGTACCAATTATTGTTTGCCCAGCGGATCTGAGTCTACGGAAGGAATTCGGACATAAATGTGCCATGTTGTCATGTTCAATTATAAAAAGGCAAAAAAACTAGGCATGAAGTAAAGTTCATTTGAAAATCCATTTTTTAAAACCAAAATATAGATACCAATAAAACGCTAAATATTTCAACGTGGTTGTTAGATCTATTCTTATTCTAATAACTGATTTCTTCAATTTTGTCCATTGTAAAAAATTAACATTTTCTAAAGATACCATCAGTTTTTGCCAATTTGGCAAGCATCCGGCCTGGATGAACCTGATTGGTGGAGTTTTTGGCAAGATGGCCGTTGCCACGGGGAACCATGTCGTTTTCAATGGGCTAACGTCACCTTACGTCTCGCTATTGGCCAGGGCTTCCATCATTGTATCCTCCCATCTTGGAATATCGATTTATATTGAAAAATCCAGTAGCGGGGGTTTGGTTATTTTCGATTTTCGTGTAGGAGTTGCAATACGATAACACTTCCAAAAAATTCCGCACGCAGCTGGGTATTTTATGAATGAAATCAGCCTTTTTTTTACAACTGCATTCCCCTTACCGTTGCCCCGTAGACACAGAGTCGCTGGGCAGACATTAGGAACTGCTTTTTTTCAGGTGCCACGCCCAAAAACGTTTATTTTTCTTTAAAAAAAATAAAATGGGGGGGGTTCGAACCCCCAAATCCCCCCCCTTATGTACGTCCTTGCTAATGCTGATCTGATGATCCATTTTTGTTTCTATGCTAATTCTGCTATATTATATATTTGCGAGAATTATTTGTGATTATTTCATTCATTATAAAATAGACCCATCAGACAACGTCATTTTTTGAATGAATTTTATTTAAATAAGTGATTATTTCACAAGACCTTGTTTATCAGCGATTAAATTTTTGTTTACCTTTTTTGACAGAATTTTGATAGAAATATTCTGACATTTTATAATAAATAGAACTCTTTGGATAGGATTGACGCCAACAATTCCATCCTAATTATTCAGGAAATAATCTAGCCGTATACCACTCGACCTATAAATTTAAATGGATTAAACTATCCAAATATTTTTTGCATAATTTTGCTTTTTGGCAAATAGTTTCATGCACAATAACTTTTAAATAAAAGCTTTTATTATGTTATTGTGCATTCAACTATTTTCCAAGCAAAATCATGCTCAAAATATGTTGCATAGTTTAATCGATTAAATTTAAAGGTCTTGTGATATAATATATGACTATTTCACTAGAGTGTTTTACACTGGCAAAATGTCATAGGAACGGCCGGTTTCCTACTGACAAAACTTCTACCTGTTCCTACCTGGGCAAAATCAACATGATGGTTTTTTAGCGACAAAATTTTGTGTGGTTGGTAGGTAAAAAACTATTATTTACGACTAATGTATAATGTGCGTATTATATTTGTGATTTTGGCAGTATAATGACATATGTTATTCCAGTGGCGGATTTAGAGGGGGGCGCGGGGGGCGCGCGCCCCCCCCCCCCCCTATTGAGCGACGCAACAACGAAATTTTTAACGAAAACACAAACATATTCATCAAGCATTATCCAACATGAAATTCCATATGGTTTTTGCTATTTTTCCAAATTTTTAATACTTTTAAATACGTTTGGCAGCAGCGAGCTGGGAGCGAATCGACTGCGGATGACGTAAATCCGCACCAACTTTGAATTTAATCTATAATTGAAAATTCCAATTAAATTTAATCTCCGATTAAATTAAATGTTGATGTCAAATGATAGTTTATGAAAATCTAAGATAGGAATGTGAAATCGGTTTTCCTCTGAAATTAACCGTTCAGGTTTTACAGCCTGTCAAAGTTGCAAAAAGTCAATGTTCAACTGTCAATATTTCCAAAACAGTTGAACTTAGGTATAGGGTATATCACATGAAATTTGCTCAGAATTTTACGTAGAATCCAAATATGCAATCACATACAGGGTGTTTTATTTGAAAAAAAGAAAGTTGGTCTAGATAGCAAACAAACCAGAAGTGACACAGGCAATACGTTTAAGTAGAATTGTGGGAAATATTAGGGACATAAAGCTACTTGAAATAATTCATCGGTATCGGTATCCGTAACGCAACTAGATACGTTGACAAGCGAAAAGGCTGTTAAAGCGCTCCCTGTTCCGGTAAACGTAAACGCATTTCATAACCTAGAAATTTTTGTCTCAAAACTTCGGCGTTTTTATATCTAACCTTAAAATTGTTATTTTTTTTGCGATAGAGAAGCACTAAACAAGAAACTCAAGAAAGTAAAAACTAAACAAATTAAATCAACCCGGAAGAAAAGGGAGGTTATATTCATTTGAAATTTGACACATGCGTCAGGAATGTCAAGATACGTTACCGATACGGATACCGCGAGAGGGCCGTAACGTTACGTTATACGTACGGTATCTCGGCCTCCGTATCGCTTCTGCACATGCGCAGTACGATACCGAGCAAAAAATACGGAAGCTTTATGTCCCTAATTTACTGAGCAACTTTCATTAAGGTCACTTTTTCGTATACGAGGTAATTAGAAAGTTACAGGTATTATACGCGACTTTTTTGCCACTCTGTATATTTAAGTCGTTTTTTTATTATTTCTTATCTGAGCCTGAGGCCCTGATGGATCGCCCCCCCCCCCCTAGAAGGAATCCTAAATCCGCCGCTGGCTATCATGGTATAATTTACTATTAAGTCTGACAAGTGTCACGAGTCACCTAAAGAAAATAAATTTTCCAAATGTAAATTTGGCTTGTTTTTCTCGTGAAATAGTCCAGCCGAATACCACTCAAGAATAGTATATTGTTGTATTAGGAGTAAGCCTACCATAATATTCTGATAAAAAAACGGGACATTTTTATGAAGCAGATGTTTCATGTATTTAAGAAAAAATAGCGCCGCAGGCGAATTTCTGTTTTTTCGGGACCCCGCCCGTAGATCGAACTCACGGATAATACACACTACTACTACAGGCTAGCCTATCCTCATAAGGCCTGTGTAGAACAAATCTGAAGCCTCCTACCGGCCTACCCATTGAGATATTATATAAAAGGAGACGCTGTTGCCGTATACGAGTATGCATTGATAACGGGATCATTAGGAGCTTATTCCAGCACCAATATGGCCGCTGTATCAGGGTTGGATTCAGCTCAAATGTCATATTTGTTTACTTCATATACCTCAAATATATTTAAAAGTCAGACTCTATTGGTATTTCAATTTTTACATGTATTTAATTGTTTTTATGTGGCCTAAAAATTGTTAAAAAATTATACTTCTAAAAAACATAACTACATATTAAAACTACAACAAAAAATTGGAAGTTCGATCCTGAATGTTGTTTATACTCACCTATGAAATGATATTCCCGTTGATTTCTTCTTTTCTACGCCAAACCTGCTGCAGCAACTTCTTACTGCACATGAAAACATTAGAGAGTTATTGGACGTCCAATAAGGACAAGCAGTATTTAAATTACCCTTATTTTGACATCTGCGTATGCGCATTTGGGTCTGAAAATAAGGATTCCCTTAATAAGGTTACTGGGCTGGAACTCTGTAACGGATAGCGACCAATATCTCTATCTCTAGTGGCGTCCCCTCTCTATTGATTTCGATAAGACAGAAGAAGATAGCAAGTGACATAGCGATAGCGATAACGATCTCTATCCGTTACAGATTCCAGCCCTGCTTGTCTTTAATTGTGTATGATTAGTGCGAGGCAGTAAACTTTCCTTATTTCAATATTTCTGACATTTTTGACGACTTCGACGTTTTGCTCCGCAACGATGACGTAATTTTAGTTAGAGAATTTGCTTTTTACAATAGTTTTCCATTTTACTGTAGGTAACATCAAAACATGGGTATCAGCAGAAAATCACAAACAAAAATAAACACTTTTTGAGGTTGAAATTTATAAACTATAGCAGTCAGCTGTCAAAATTATGAATACAAAATAAGATAATATCCTAACACCTACTACAGTCTTCCAATAACTGTTATTTTCTTGGAGAAATAGTGCTGATGCACCAATAAAATAGCGTAGATCCTTAATACTGCGAGACAGTATTTAATATTTCCAATAACTCTCTATTATACTTCTCTCATACACAACACAAGCAAGTCG